CCGGGACCGGCGCGGTGACTGCCCGTGGCGGGGTGGGGCGGCGGCGTCGGCGCGAGCCTGCCGCGCCTCTAGCGTTCCCTGTGCCGGCCGGCCGACAGTACCAGGCCATGCGCAACTTGTCGGAGCGCGGCACGGTGGCGCCCGAGACGCTGCGCAAGTACGCCGACATCGACCAGCACCTGCGCCGACTGGAGCTCAAGCTGCGCGAGGGCACCACGCGCGACGTGGGCCAGCGCGGCTCCAACCGCGTCTCGCAGATGGCACAGCAGTTCCTGGCGCGTGACCGGCTGCCGCTGGAGAAGGTATGCCGCCGGCTGGTGGCCGCCACGCGCCGCCTGCCCGCCCGCCTCGTCGCATGCGCATGCTACGCCCTGGCACTCGTCGGCTTCTGGCTCGTCTGCTACGACACGTTCCGCACGCGCTAGAGGCGATGGAGGTGGCGCCGGAGGCATCTGTGTATTCGAAGCGGTCAAGGGGTGTGGCAGGATGGCATGTTCTCCTGCTCTCGATGGATAACGTGTCAAGGTAGCATGCGGTGTTGGTGGTGGAATGCTTTGTCAGATCTGCCTGAGTTGCCACGGTGACAGGTAGAGTTCGTTGGCTCCCTGCACGTTGGTGTCGTTCAGTTTTGCATGATAATGCTCTCTGTCCTGTTTGTTACCGCCAGTATCTATGCTCAGGGCTATGGTGTGCGTTGCCGTATTTAAAACCTTAAAGTGATAAAAAAGTGATATGACCATGACAGTTTATGATGATGATATTTTATGACTTATCATGCTCTTTTTCCTTTCAACGGGTAACCACACGAATGGCATCACCTCACGGTTCTTTTATGGTCGTTAACATTATCGACCTTGTGGAGCACTAGGGCGACTCACGGCAATTAATATCGCCAAAGCGCCCGTAGGAGATGGATGGAGCCGCACCGTCTCTCGGTCTCCGACCAGTGTCTGATCTTAGCCAGCGTTCTCTTGTAAATCAGGACGGTGACGTATGGCTTTGTACGTGTACTGCAACAATAAGGCCATGTTCTGACGCTCTGGTGTGGTATGGAACACTTGTGCAGTTTGCTGCAATTTCACTGACGATATGGTTTGCGGGGTATTACTCATGGCAAAACATCCAACTTTCATGAGTAATATTTACACCGCTGCCTAAGCTTCGTCTTTTCGTATATTTGCTTGTGTTCTGCTTACCTGTGCCTACCATATTTATATTAATAAAGCTTCTGTTGTTGGTTGCGGCTTGCATGAAACAGCTACCCGCACTGAGCCAGCACGCTTACAGCAGCACGGCTGACCTCGGTTTCGGGCAGTGACAAAGCAAGGGGGGGGGGGGGGCTCAGGGAACTTACAGGGACTGTAATTTTCTCGTTTGCTGTTTTTGACGTTTCTTACCGTCCAGTGGTTGTTTATTAGTGCTTATTTTGCGTTTTGAACTATAATTCATAAAGTTCTGATGTCTACTATGTCTTTTATAAGTGATAAAAGTGCTTTGCAAAAAGATCGTAGATTGTTATTTTGTCCATCCCTGAACCTCTTCCCCGCGGCGTTTAGGGCGTTTATGGAGATATGCAGACGAACAGTGGCATGTGGCAAAAATGCAGGCATCAGATGGCATTGTCGTCGGTTGCCTATTTGGAACAATATTCGTGGGCATTGGATGACGTCTTATTGGTAGGGGTATTGGTTTTTATTACGAATATGCTGGATGAAAAAATCATCGAGATTGGATAAGGTTGACGTAGATAAAAGTTTGACTTATATGGGTACTGACGATTATGTAAGTTAGTAGCAGCGACTTGCCCGGTTGTTGATACGATGAAAGTGTTATGTGTAAAATATTTTATTATCTCAAACGCCGAATGGCGTCACCGCCTAAATAGCACGGGAGACTTGAGCTCAACGTAGGCGCGCCGAGGTCAGCTGGAATTTTGCAGCTGAGCATCGCATTTAGCAATAACAGGTGAGACTTGAGCCTCACGTAGGGCGCGGAGGTCAGCTCGAATCTTGCGGCTGAACATCCGCATTTAGCAATAGAGTCGGCCTTCAGAAGGTTGTTTCTTAAATGTTTCAGTGTCATGACTTGACCCGGTCTGCCGCTCTGGCACGGGTATCGGCCGACCTTACTGCTTCAACGCACGCGAGCCTTCTGTCCAACACAATGCAGGGTCGAGTGGCATGACTCATGTCGTGAATGGGCCTAATCCTCCAGCGAACACCCCGCGGAATAATGCATTGCTGCGAGACCCGCGGAATACGGCGGTGTAATACATTGTTACGAGGTCGCGTGCGCCGGGCTAGTTCACGAACCACCGGCTGGGTGTGGTGGGTGGAAGCGACGTGATTACAGTCATACACCTGAGATTACTTTTGGGCATTTTCAGATTAATGAAAACCATTCAAAACAGCCTCTCGTGCAAACGCGCCAGTATTCGATCAAGACCAGAGCGCAGTGGGGGCCCGAAAGCCCTGGTCGAGCCCCTTGTGGGGTTCCCGGACATTGCAGGACTGCCTGCAGTTGGGACGCGTGCACTATCGAGTCAGTTCAGAGGCGAAACAGTCGCCGTTACACCGACTGACATACAACCACCACAGGAAAGCAGGGACCGACGGGAGCTGCCTGCCTTCCCCTTGGTCACCGCCCTACCGTTCAGACACAGCTACACGGGCCGACTGTCCGACGTCTTCCCATATGGCCCTCCCAGGTCACTGCGGGCCAAGCT